CTATCAAGAAAATCCTTCACTCCATTGATGAACTTAATATTGCTTCTTCTTAGATTCATCCAACTTCTATCTAAATTATTCATTAAATGTGACACAAGAAATAAGAAAAAATTAACCTACAACTATAAAAGACAACAATGTTCTGCAACTAAACACTACATTAGAACAATTATATCTCAAACATAACATGGATACTACGTATTTTAAGATTTAATGCAAGAAAAATATCAAATACTTCACAATACTACTTTATGATAATCCAAAGACAAGCCAGACTAACGACTAGGAAATAATTTCAGACATACTCTTAACTACTAAAACAAAAACTAAGAACCATTGATGTCCTTTTTTGGATACGTGTAAAGTGAGATTTTATTATTGTTCAATTAAAACCTAAAGCAAATTCAAATTCAAATTCAAATTAAAAATACAATGAAAAAACTACAACTACCACTTAATGGACTATTACTATTACTTCATATTTAACACTCATATAGCAACAATCAAGTATTATTAACACATCAACACCTTTGCTAATAACTCATTTAGGTTCAACAAACAAAATCGTTTCAAATTTAATTTAACTTTATAAAAAAATGAAGATCAGTTCAACTTAAAAATGAGAATACTTGACCAAACAATCCCTTTTTAATAAACATGACTTACTGGACAAAATATGAGAATGTTGGATCAAACAACACCAACTACCAGCAATAGGAAATCAAACATCGACGTTAGATTGAATAATCCACCAAAAATAATTCCAACAACAACAAATTAAAACCACAAACAATAGCTACTACAACACAGAGATAATAAAATACCACAATTATACTGTAACTAACAACAACAAATTTACATAAATACAATGACGCAACTAAATAATTACAACACACAACACCAACTACCAGCAAAATCCAACAATTTCACTAAACCCTTAAACAAACAAACCACAAATCGCTCACAGTTTCAACCTATTAGCACATGCAACAATAGAAACAAACTATTTCGCTAACCTCGTAGGAAAAATATCTTAAATGACCGAACTTGTTGAAGAAATATAGGTCAAGCTTCAGTCACAAACAGAAATGCCAAATGATCTCACCGATATAGCTAAAAACAGAAAAACACTAACTTAAATCACCAAAACATCTACTTAAATCAACAAAACACCAACTAAAATCACACAAACCTTTAAAAATATGAGTGCTTTGATGATTTTAGCTCATAATAGTCAAATACGAGCATAAGTTAGTGCAAAATCTAAGAATATTACCTCTGATTTACAGTGACGCCTAAGGTTTAAGAAGAGAAAAGTTTAATGAGAGGTTAGAGAAAAGAGAGAGTGTTGTTTGATTTGTGAGTGAAGTTGCTAAAACAATATCACAAATGTATATTATTTCTAAAATGAATATACAGAAATAAAGAAATATAAAATATAATTAATGATATTGGTGGGTAATGAAAATTATTGAGAGAAAATGTGGATGATTAATGAACATGTGGGTGATTAAGAGATAATAGACTTCACTATCATTTAATAGATTCCACACTTTAGTAGACACATTGGGTAGATAAAAGAGATGAGAAACTAAGAAAACAAACAAATAACATCGCTAAAATCGCAGTAACAAAAATGAAAGACATGACACTCTAAGTAAACCAACACCTTAGCAAAAATCAATATAAAAATAAAAGAGATCTTACACTACGTAAATCAATAGCTTAACCAATGTTTGGACACATCTAGAAAATAGATTCCACAATGAAGTTTTTTGAAGAAACAATGATCATTTCTTACAAAAAACCAGATATAGTTCTATCTAACTTCATAAACATTCGATAAAGACAACTTGTTACACAAATTATTATCAGAAAATAAAAAAAGCAACAGATTTAAATCATGCCTCAGAAATTCTCGTCTTATTTAATCATGCCTTAGAAATTCAACATAAACAGCAAGAGAAATCTCATTCAGAGTAATCTAATAAAAAAATAAAAGGAAACAGAGTAAAAACACACTATCAGATTTATTAAAACCTAATGCAATAGGAAATCCAACATCGATGTTAGATTGAAAAATGTACTAAAAGTGACTCTAACAACAATAAATTAAGACCTCAAACACTAGCTACTATGCCACATATAATACAGAAATACCACAATTATACTGTAACTAGCAACAAGAAGTTAAAATAAATACACATTTGCAATTAAATAATTATAACACATAGCACTAACTACCAACAAAATCCAATAATTTCACTAACCCTAAAATAAACAAACAAAAAACCGCTCACACTTTCAACCTATTAGGACATGCAACAATAGAAATTGACTAATTCACTAACCTCGCACGAAAAACCTTATAAGAAGAAAAGATATGAAAGAAAAATACTTTTAAATGACCGAACTTATTGAAGAAATCTATGGTCGAGCTCCAGTCACAAACATAAACACCAATAGATCTCACAGATGCAGCTAAAATCACAAAACACCAACTAAAATCACACAAACCCTCAAAGAGATCAGAGAGCTTTGAAGATTTTAGCTCTTAATAGTCCAGTACAATCTTAGATTAGTGAAAAAATTGAGAATATTACCTTTGATTTATAGTGGCGCCTAAGGTGTAAGAAGAGAAAAGTTCAGAGAGAGGTTAGATAGAAGAGAGAGTATTGTCTTATTTGTAAGTGAAGTTGCTAAAATAATATCACAAATGTATATTGTTTCTATATATGTTGTTTCTAAAATGAGTATCTAGAAATAAAGAAATATAAAAGAAAATAACTGACATTGGTGGGTGATGACAAATATTGAGAGAAAACGTGGATAACTAAGAGACAATAGACGTCACTTCATTTAAAGATTCCACACTTAGGTAGACACACTAAACAGGAAAAAAGACAACACAAAGTAAACAAACAACATCCTAAAACCGCAATAACAAAAATGAAAGAGATGACACTCTAAGTAAACCAATATCTTAGCCAAAATTATTATCATACATTAAAGACATGACATAATAAGTAAACGTTCCTTAGTCAAAATCAGTATAAAAAGTACAAGAGATCTTACACTACGTAAACTAACAACTTAACCAATGTTTGGATACATCAAGAAAACAGATTCCACGCTGATATTTTTTGATGAAAAAGTGATCATTCCTTACAAAGAAGTAGATACAACTCTATCTAACTTCATGAACATTCGATAAATGCAATATCATTACATTAATTATTATCAAGAAAATAAAAAATTTACAAGTTTAAATCATGCCTCACAAATTCTTGTCGTATAAAATCATGCCTTAGAAATTCAACATCAATGGCAAGAGAAATCTGATTCACAATAATCTATTATCAAGAAATAAAGAAAAATAGAGTAAAAACACACTACCATATTTATTAAAACCTAACGCAATAAGAAATCCAACAATGTTACGTTGAACAATCTACTAAAAGTGATTCTAACAACAATAAACTAAGACCACAAACGGTAGATACTATAGCACATACAGTACAAAAATACCACAATTATACTATAACTAACAACAACAAATTGACATAGATGCAAAAAATGAAACTAAATAATTACAACACATAGAACTAACTACTAGCAAAATCCAACAATTTCAGTAACCCTAAATCAAACAAATAAAAAATCGCTCATAGTTTCAACCAATTAGCACATGTAACAACAGAAACAGACTGTTTCACTAACCCCTTAGGAAAAAACTTAAAAGAAGAAAAATATATCAAAGAAAAATACCTTAAATTATCGAACTTCTTGAAGAAATCTAGGTCCATCTCGAGCTACAAACAGAACCACCAATAGATCTCACAGATGTAGCTAAAATCACAAAACACCAACTTAAATCACCAAACACCAAGTAAAATCACACAAACCCTCAAACAGATGAGAGGGCTTTTGAAGATTTTAGCTCCTAATAGTCAAATACGAGCTAGAATAGTGTGGAATCTGAGAATATTTCTGATTTGTAGAGGCGCCTAAGGTCTAAGAATAGAAAAGTTCAGAGAGAGGTTAGAGGGAAGAGAGAGTATTGTCTGATTTGTGAGTGAAGTTGCTAAAATAATATCACTAGCTAATTTATATTGTTTCAATATATGTTGTTTCTAAAATGATTACATAGAAATAAAGAAATATAAAAGATAATAAATGATATTGGTGGGTGATGAAAAATATCGAGGGAAAATGTCGATGATTAAACCATTACATTACATGTTAATTTTCAGGTACTCATTGCCATAGATGACTTTTTGAAATATTGTTGCTATAGCTAACACTATTGCAATGGTCATATGACTAAGTCGTGTCAATAGCTAACAAATCTTTTGGCAAAGGTCATAATTATTGCACTAGACAGGTTATAGGAACGATTTTTGAAATGGTTACTAGTAAGTCTGTTCCCATAGACCCAATTTATGGTAGTGATATAGCAGCAAGGGAAGTTCACATACTGTTTAGAGAGAGAACTGATTGTTCTATTGGTATTGATCAAGATTACATATGCTCGTATTTATAGAAGAGACTTAGCAGTCTAGTACAACTTATACATGTAAAATAAGAGTTTTATTTTAGCTATACTGCTCAAACTCCTAATCAAACACTTCTTCTGATCATTCGAATTTCGAACACTGTTGATCCCTATCTTCATGCAACATGATGTTAATTCAGAGACACATCAACTTTTCATTCTTACAAAAGAGTAATGAAAATCAACCAACATTAGATTGTCGATCCCAAATTTCATTTCTTAACAAAAACTTCATTGCTATATCAAAATTCATTAGTACTTTATGAAATCAACCACTAATACATAAATACTTCCAATCATTGTACAATCAATCTAGAAGGGAAAGTATAGAAAAAGGATAAACCAGCTAAAAGCTTGTGTCCGTTGGTCAATAAGCAAAATTTCAATGAAAGCCCTTGACTCATATCCCCTTCCCAAAAATGGGGTTATCGAACCTGTTTGTCCTTCATACTTGATCTGACTGCCTCAACTCTTTTCGGAGAGTCTGACAGAAAGACTGACAAGCATCCATACTAAGATCCATAGCAGCTGCCAATGCAACAAAAGCTGCAGCATCCTCCGAGCAGCTCACGTGCTGCGCCCCTACAACCACCTCCGGCTTACTACATTTTCCATCACCCTTCACCGTGGAGGACATCACAAATCCACGGTACAAAATCTGTCCCCAAGATCCAGATGACCCGAAATCTGACCAAGACCCAGAGACTGAGGAGTAGTCAAAGCTGCTATGTGCACTAGCCATTGGGATAGCAACATTGCTGATATCTATGCTGAATTTCCCACCATTCTTGGTGCTGATGGTTGAATTGACCAATGTTATAGCATCATTGGCACCATCAGGGATGATTTCAAAGCGATAACCAAGCTTACCACTAATCTCTAGCCATGCTTGTAGGCGTCCCCATGGCTTCCATGTACCCTGATCTGGACGGAGGATGAGCCAGGCTCCAGGGTTTGATCTGCTCACCTTATTTGAACCTTGTGATGGGACAAATGGGGTCACCATGGATGCTGCAGCAATTGGTGAGCCAGAGAGGTCATGGATTGTCACTAACCATCCCTTTCGCTCTTTTCTCCGTGTCTCATTATCAGCTGTCCAACAATTAAAGCAGCTTTTTGATGTGCTTCCTTCTGATAGCGAAGATCTACGAAATAACAATTGAGATTTAGATGGAGTTCAAGTTAAATTTAGTTAAATTGACATTGATTTAAACTAACCTGGATATCGAATTCCAATCACCAGAATTTTTGAAACTGAACTTGCAAGTGAAAACAGGTTGTTTCACATTTCCATTAACTTGAAAAACCTGTGGACTACACTCCGGTTCGCCATCAAACTGAAAAACAAATCTTGGGTCAGGTTCAACTTTCACATTCAGATGCACTTTTGCTACACCAACCAAAACCCATCCATTCTTAATCACAACTCCTCTACTACCTTTACTTTCCAAACCCTTCAAATCCAATTCAACAAACACACTCCCCAAAATCCTCCCACCAGTATAATATCCACAACCAATGCCCATACTCTTCGGTGCACAAATTTCAATCTTTAAACAAGAAGTTTCCCTTCTAGCATTTGTTTTTTCAATGTCGGTTTTGTTCAAATTGAAAGAGGCATGGATTTTGTTCTCTAAAACAAGGTCTTGTTTAGAAAACGCATTGATGGTTGAAACTTGTGTTGGAAAACCCTTAAGCTTAATGTTACAATCAAGCAACACACTCGAAGTTAAACTCCGGTTAGCCGGAACCATGACTGCTAAGTCGGCGATAGTGATTCGAAGAAAAGGACAAGGATCCATTAGTTCACAAGATGAACACAGGAGAAGAAATGATTTATAGAAATACAAAATAGCAAGCTGGCAATAGAGGGGATGGAATGCGTGGGGAATGAGGTGTGTCCCCGTAATTTTAGAAGGAATGTGTCAGCAAAGAAACATCATTTATCTGTCAAATAGCCAATCACTTTTGGTGTGATATATAACTTGTCTTTTTCTAGATAGTCTCTTTCATCCTAGGATTTTATTGGGTTCTATATGGAATGTTCACACATCTATATATAGTTCATCTCTTTCTCTTTATTTTTATTTATCTTGTTTATATTAAGCATATTTATTAAGAAATAATAATTGACATGATTGTTTTATCATATTTTCCCTATAAGTGAATACTCTCTCTATTTCATTATCATATTATTCCTATAAATGAATACTCTCTCTATTTCATATTAAGTGAATTAGTGAGCTAATCAGTCATACATACTAATTAAGAAAAATATTAAGAGATATCTCTTCCGTCCACTTTTAATTGTTATAATTTTCTTTTTTCACAGTCAAACAATAAGAATTTTGACTAACATTTTAGGATGAATTTTTCATCATATTGATATGCAAAAAAAAAGTACTTTTCGTATAATTTTTGAATAGCTAAATTTTTTGTTTAAAATATCGAATTAATGTTATTTGGTTTAACTTTGAAAGTTAGTCAAATTGACTTTCGGAAAGCGCAACATGCCCTCGTCCCAAATTAGTTGATCATTATACTAAAAGTAGTTTTTTCATATATATTAGTTGTCCACCTTACTAAATCAAGAAGATGTTAATTAAATTGTTCCTATATTATCCTTGCAATTAATTCTTTTTGAAGTGTTCACATTTGTTTATAAAATTCTCAAAAGGGTTTTTAAGGGGTGAATTAGTAAAATTATCTTTTATTTATACTTTCTTAAATACCGTGCAAAATGAAAAGTGATCAACTAATATGGGACGAAGGGAGTATTGTTTACTATTTGTCCTTTTATGAAATCATAAGTATAATTTTGTAAATAGTATAATTTATATGCTAGAAAATATAAAATTTTATTAATGAAAAGAGAAAATATGGAAAAACTTTCAAACATTTGTCTTGAAATTTGAACAATGGAAAAAAGCCCAAAAATTCACTTATAATATAGATAAGAGGGAGTATTTAATATTAAGTCTTGAAAATGGTTTAAATAATAAATAATTGATGTCAATGGAAAAATATAGAAAATAAATAAATTTTTTCCTTAATATGACAAAAGTGAAAAATTATGTTGAACCAGAGGTCTTGGATTCGAGCCGTAGATATGAAGAAAATCATCTTGGGACCGTCACCCTCCGACTAGGCCCTGCATTGCGCAATCTAAATTTAATCGAGGCTCTAATGCGGGCATCGAACACTAGGTGAGAAACCCAAAAAAAGAAAAAATATGTTTGAAATATTTGAGAAGTAAAATTAAAGAGACGTACCATTTATCCATACTAGTAGTCTTCGTTACGCTCTAAGTTTTTCTCATTATTTTTCTTTCTTTTTGGTACATGAACCTATTGTCAATGCAGTACGAGGTATAGTCTTTTAGGAATTGTTTGGTAGAGTGTATTTACAAAAATAATGTATGCATTAGCTTTTTATATCAACAATATTTTGTTTGGTACTTTTTTCATGTTATGTATATCTTATGTTTGCATTAGTTATACACTCTATTGTGTATTAAGGTGGTTGTTACTAATAATACGAATCTCTAGGTATTAGTAATGCAAGATATTTTAATGCACACATTAGTGTGGTTAAAGACCTCATTGCCCCTCAAAATCTTTTTTATATCTTGTCCATCATAATGATAAAAGGTATCTTTGTAAATAAATATTTTTATTTAATGCATGTTTTATTTTAATATACCAAACCAAATACATAAAAAATAATTTATATATAATTAATGCAAGCATTACTAATAAAATCATATTAATGTAAGCATTAGTAATAACTCTACCAAACGACCCCTTAAAGACATGCAAAGAAGAACTTTTGTACCATCATTAGGGGTGTTCAAATGAAAATGGATAAACTATACCAAATCAATAAACCAAGCCAAACTAAAAAAAATATATTACTTCTTTTGTTTTAAAAGAATGACATAGTTTGACTTGACATGAAGTTAAAAAAATAAGACGACTTTTTAATATTATGGTCCTAAATTAAAATTATGTCAAATGTATCAAAATACTCTTTAATCTTCTGGACTTAAATATATCATGTGGGAAACTGAAATTAAAGTATTGCAAAAAAAGGATCATTCATTTTTAAACAGACTAAAAAGAAAAGTAATTTAAATCATATATTTTTTGTTATTTGTCCTTTGATGAATAATAATTGACATGATTATTTTATCCTATTATTCTGCAAATTAATATTCTCTCTATTTCATATTAAGTTAATTTGTGACGCAATGCACACAAATTAAGAAAATATTTAAGGAAATAATTTAAATCATATTTTTCATTATTTTTTCATTTAGGAAATCATAAGTATAACTTTGTCAGTAGTGTAATTTATCTCCTAGAAAATATAAAACTTCATTCAAGTAAATAGCAAATATGGGAAAAGTTTCAAACATATGTGTTGAACTTTGAACAATTCAATTATTTTGAACAATGAAAAAGTCCTAAAAAATATTCACTTAGGGCCTGTTTGGAAAGCCACTTGGTAATTGAAATTGGTGTGTTACTAGGGGCCTAGTAATTATACAATCTAGTAATTACGTTGACTTGTTATTTGCCACAATGTAATTACATTGTAACTACAACTGTATGGTTTGATTGCACAAGTGCAATCATTATAATGATATTAAATACAATATTTAAGATATATATTGTCTACTAAAAATATATTAATCAACAAACATATTTCTTAACTAATATTATAAAAAAACTAATTAATTTGTATTTTTCAAATTAGTATATTTTAATTAAATTAATAATAAAAAATAAAAATATAAGGTTTCTATGAACATCATATAATACATGTTTGACAATAAGATTAATATTATAAATATGACGTCATAAATTATAAAAATATTTGACAAAAAGACAATCTATCAAGTCTAACTAAAAATTAATTGACTTGCAATGTGAAATATCAAGTCAACACTACTAAAACAAATGTAATTACAGCCAATTCACACCCCCCCCCCCCCCCCCCCCCATGAATTGAAGAGTCTAATTAGCCATGCCAACTATACCTAATTGTCTGCTGACCAAGTAATTACATTGTCAACCAAACATGTCAGGCAATGTAATTACACCCAATTACACCAAATCTAGTTACCAGGGTGATTTTCCAAACATACCTTAATATGAAATAGATGGAGTATTTAGTACTATTATGTAATGAAAAATGATTTAAACAATAAATAATTAGTGTTAAGGGTAGAATATAGAAGAAGAAAAAAATTATTTTTCTTAATATGTTAAAAGTGAAAAATTTATGTTTGAAATATTGGAGAAGTACAATTAAAGAGGGAATATCATTTACCCATACTAATAATCTTCATTACACCCTAAGTTTTTCTCATTATTGTTTTTCTATATTTTCTTACATGAACCTATTGTCAAGAAGACTTGTATATCATCAATAGTAGATGTGTAAAAAATGAGCCCAATCATAGGTAATCCGCCTAGAGTTTTAAGGGTTAGACTCAAGATAATTTGAATTGGGTTCAATCTCAACCCATTCAAGTCTTAGCTAATTTTAAGAGAATTCTCAATTGAGCTCAATTTAATCTCCAATTTCAACCCATTTTAGACTCTTTATTTGCATTGATGTAATGCATGTTCATATATTTAATGTAGTATGAATTATTATCTATTTTATATATTTAGTATTTATCTATCCATTTGTAACTATTTTTTTTAAATTTTCATGAGTTGAAATTTAAATTGTGGTTATAAGACTTCAATAAGAATATATTAAAAACTATAACTTACCTAAATCCCATAGTGTAAAGAGTAAACTACATCATATCCCTGCTCTTTTTCTAATTACAATTATCCCTTAAAATTTGTACCTTCCGGATACATAAGTCACCATCCGAATACATTAATTCTAATACAAGAAAAATCTTTTTGTTGCGCTAAAAAGGGAATAAAATCTGAAAATTAATTAAATCCCATGAATTATGCTTACGTTTCTTCTTACTCTCAATCATACAGAGGCAAATCCTAACAGAAAGAAGAAATACAAAATTTTAAATTTCTTCCCCCATTCAACCAAGAAACCTTTCAGATTTAATTCAAAAACTTTTGTCAAAATTTTGGGTAAGCGAGGTGAGTTATGAAGGATACAAAAGTGATGGAATTGTTGTTGGACAAACGATTTCCTTTTGAATCTTCAAGTTCATCGAAGATCCTTTCAATTTTGAATCAAGATTTGTAACGATCGGGTTCCTTCGTTATAGAAAAGCTAACGGGGAAAATATTTGGGTCGGAAAACTTTTTCGTAGTGACTTGGAATTTCCCAACCTAGTCCAAATTTGGATGAAATCAGAGTCTTTAAGGTGTAGGGAAATCTGGTAACAATCGGGTGATTTCATTATGATTTTGATTACATCTGTGGATAGATAAGTCGTTAAGGAACCCGTACGACTTTACGGAATTGAATTCGGGCTAGTAGATCTCCCGAAATTGATCTTAGCATGAACGGTATCTTCTGAGTGTCGTTGGTTGAAGGTGTGTTGTGAAATGGGGGTCTTGAAATTATTAATATATCTCACTGTTTCGTGCAAGCCGCCTTGGCGGTGGTTTTGGTCGCCCTGGCGGGGCCACTATAGCGAGGTGACGACCGCTGTGGCAGGCTAAACGCGACTTAAAATCGTAAATAAACCCCAAAACGTCTTTATTCTGCACTTTTCGGTTTTTAGAGCTAAGGAACGAACCCCAAGTGATTCTTGATGGTTTTCCACTATTCTTAAGGCTAAAGGTAAGATTTTAACTCCCCAAATTCA